GCAGGAATGGTGCTTGCATGTGAGGGAACTTCTATCCTGTTTTCCATAGTGACTGTACCAATTTACATTCCCACCAACAGTGTACAAGCGTTCCCTTTTCTCCCCTTTTCTCAGATTGCATTTGAATAGAAACCTGAGAGAGCTGAGGGAACAAGCCGTGGACTGTGAAGGAAGAGATTTATAGACAGAAAGAACAGGAAGTGTATGGGCTGTGAAGTGGCAGCATGCCTGCCATACTACTACTGGAAATAGAGCCGTATGGATGAGAGGGCAAGTAGCAATGAAGTCAAACTGGTAAAATTAAGGGAGTTGGTAGGTAAGATAATGTAGAACCTTGAAGACTTTTTATATATTACTCTGAGCAAGAGACCTCAAAGAATTGGAAACATGTTATCCGGCTTATGCTTTAAAAGAAAGACACATGTAATAAGTGACAGGCCACTCTCTGGATTAAGTTTAAGAGTCCTAAACATTTAGATAAGAACGATCTGCTGGGCTTCCCTGGTGGCGCAGTGGTTGAGAGTCCACCTGTCGATGCAGGGGACACGGGTTCGTGCCCCGGTCCGGGAGGATCCCACTTGCCGCGGAGTGGCTAGGCCTGTGAGCCATGGCCGCTGAGCCTGCGCGTCTGGAGCCTATGCTCCCCAACGGGAGAGGACACAACAGTGAGAGGCCCGCGTACCACAAAAAAAAAAAAAAAAAAAAAAAAAAGAGAATGATCTGCTATTCATGAAAACTGAGGAAATAGTACATCCAGGAAAACTGAGGAAATAGTACATTCAGGGTACTTTCGTCCTACTTTCTCTACATCAGCACAGCCAACTGCAGACACCCTCAACATTTTTCTGTTCTGAATACTTGAGACTATTACCAGTCATATAAAAATATTCTGTCAGAAAGAACTGAATGGACATTTTTCTAAAGAAGACATACCTGGCCAACAGGTACATGAAAAGGTGCTCAACATCACTAATCATTAGGGAATTGGAAATCAAAACCACAGTGAATTATCACCTCATACTTGTTAAAATGGTTATCCTCCAAAAGACAAGATAACAAGTTTGGTGAGGGTGGGGAGAAAAGGGAACCCTTGTACACTGTTGGTGGGAATGTAAATTGGTACAGTCACTATGGAAAACAGTATAGAAGTTCCTCAAAAAATTAAAAATAGAACTACCATATGATTCAGTAAAATCCCACTTCTGGGTACACATCCAAAGGAAATGAAAACAGGATCTCAAAGAGAGATCTGCATCCCCATATTCATCACAGCGTTATTTACAACAGCCAAGATATGGGAACAACCTAACTGTCGATGGGTGAATGGATAAAGATGATGCAGTACGTATATACAATTCAGCCATGAGACAGAAGGAAATCCTGCCATTGGCAATAACATGGATGGACCTTAAGGGCATTGTGCTAAGTGAAATAATTAAGACAGAGAAAGACAAAAACGGTACGATATCACTTATATGTGGAATCTAAAAAACCAAACTCAGAGAAACAG